GATCCCTGTTCACCAGCACTGACTCAGAGTCTGCCACTGATGATGATGATGATGAGACACTGAATGGTGAAACTGATCCCTGTTCACCAGCACTGATTCGGAGTCTGCTGCTACTGATGATGATGAGACACTGAATGGTGAAACTGATCCCTGTTCACCAGCACTGACTCAGAGTCTGCTACTGATGATGATGAGACACTGAATGTTGAAACTGATCCCTGTTCACCAGCACTGACTCAGAGTCTGCTACTGATGATGATGAGTCACTGAATGTTGAAACTGATCCCTGTTCACCAGCACTGACTCAGAGTCTGCTACTGATGATGATGATGAGACACTGAATGGTGAAACTGATCCCTGTTCACCAGCACTGACTCAGAGTCTGCTACTGATGATGATGAGTCACTGAATGTTGAAACTGATCCCTGTTCACCAGCACTGACTCAGAGTCTGCTACTGATGATGATGATGAGACACTGAATGGTGAAACTGATCCCTGTTCACCAGCACTGACTCAGAGTCTGCTACTGATGATGATGAGTCACTGAATGTTGAAACTGATCCCTGTTCACCAGCACTGACTCAGAGTCTGCTACTGATGATGATGATGAGACACTGAATGGTGAAACTGATCCCTGTTCACCAGCACTGACTCAGAGTCTGCTACTGATGATGATGAGTCACTGAATGTTGAAACTGATCCCTGTTCACCAGCACTGACTCAGAGTCTGCTACTGATGATGATGATGAGTCACTGAATGTTTAAACTGATCCCTGTTCACCAGCACTGACTCAGAGTCTGCTACTGATGATGATGAGTCACTGAATGTTGAAACTGATCCCTGTTCACCAGCACTGACTCAGAGTCTGCTACTGATGATGATGATGAGTCACTGAATGTTGAAACTGATCCCTGTTCACCAGCACTGACTCAGAGTCTTCTACTGATGATGATGATGAGTCACTGAATGTTGAAACTGATCCCTGTTCACCAGCACTGACCCAGAGTCTGACCCTGCTGCTGATGAGTCACTGAATGTTGAAACTGATCCCTGTTCACCAGCACTGACTCACAGTCTGCTACTCACGATGATGAGTCAGTGAATGGTGAAACCGATCCCTGTTCACCAGCACTGACTCACAGTCTGCTACTGATGATGATGATGAGACACTGAATGTTGAAACTGATCCCTGTTCACCAGCACTGACTCAGAGTCTGCTACTGATGATGATGAGTTACTGAATGTTGAAACTGATCCCTGTTCACCAGCACTGACTCAGAGTCTGCTACTGCTGCTACTGATGATGATGAGACACTGAATGGTGAAACTGATCCCTGTTCACCAGCACTGACTCAGAGTCTGCTACTGATGAGACACTGAATGGTGAACTGATCCCTGTTCACCAGCACTGACTCACAGTCTGCTACTCATGATGATGATGAGTCAGTGAATGTTGAAACTGATCCCTGTTCACCAGCACTGACTCAGAGTCTGCTACTGATGATGATGAGTTACTGAATGTTGAAACTGATCCCTGTTCACCAGCACTGACTCAGAGTCTGCTACTGCTGCTACTGATGATGATGAGTCACTGAATGTTGAAACTGATCCCTGTTCACCAGCACTGACTCAAGAGTCTGCTACTGATGATGATGAGGCACTGGATGTTGAAACTGATCCCTGTTCACCAGCACTGACTCAGAGTCTGCTACTGATGATGATGAGACACTGAATGGTGAAACTGATCCCTGTTCACCAGCACTGACTCACAGTCTGCTGCTGATGATGATGATGAGTCACTGAATGTTGAAACTGATCCCTGTTCACCAGCACTGACTCAGAGTCTGCCACTGATGATGATGATGAGTCACTGAATGTTGAAACTGATCCCTGTTCACCAGCACTGACTCAGAGTCTGACCCTGCTGATGATGAGTCACTGAATGTTGAAACTGATCCCTGTTCACCAGCACTGACTCAGAGTCTGCTACTGATGATGATGAGTCACTGAATGTTGAAACTGATCCCTGTTCACCAGCACTGACTCAGAGTCTGCTACTGATGATGATGATGAGTCACTGAATGTTGAAACTGATCCCTGTTCACCAGCACTGACTCAGAGTCTGCTACTGATGATGATGATGAGTCACTGAATGTTGAAACTGATCCCTGTTCACCAGCACTGACTCAGAGTCTGCTACTGATGATGATGATGAGTCACTGAATGTTGAAACTGATCCCTGTTCACCAGCACTGACTCAGAGTCTGCTACTGATGATGATGAGTCACTGAATGTTGAAAACTGATCCCTGTTCACCAGCACTGACTCAGAGTCTGCTACTGATGATGATGATGATGAGTCACTGAATGTTGAAACTGATCCCTGTTCACCAGCACTGACTCAGAGTCTGCTACTGATGATGATGATGAGTCAGTGAATGTTGAAACTGATCCCTGTTCACCAGCACTGACTCAGAGTCTGCTACTGATGATGATGAGTCACTGAATGTTGAAACTGATCCCTGTTCACCAGCACTGACTCAAGAGTCTGCTACTGATGATGATGAGGCACTGGATGTTGAAACTGATCCCTGTTCACCAGCACTGACTCAGCGTCTGCTACTGATGATGATGATGAGTCAGTGAATGTTGAAACTGATCCCTGTTCACCAGCACTGACTCAGAGTCTGCTACTGATGATGAGATGAGTCACTGAATGTTGAAACTGATCCCTGTTCACCAGCACTGACTCAAGAGTCTGCTACTGATGATGATTAGGCACTGGATGTTGAAACTGATCCCTGTTCACCAGCACTGACTCAGCGTCTGCTACTGATGATGATGATGAGTCAGTGAATGTTGAAACTGATCCCTGTTCACCAGCACTGACTCAGAGTCTGCTACTGATGATGATGAGTCACTGAATGTTGAAACTGATCCCTGTTCACCAGCACTGACTCAAGAGTCTGCTACTGATGATGATGAGGCACTGGAATGTTGAAACTGATCCCTGTTCACCAGCACTGACTCAGCGTCTGCTACTGATGATGATGATGAGTCAGTGAATGTTGAAACTGATCCCTGTTCACCAGCACTGACTCAGAGTCTGCTACTGATGATGATGAGTCACTGAATGTTGAAACTGATCCCTGTTCACCAGCACTGACTCAAGAGTCTGCTACTTGATGATGATGAGGCACTGGATGTTGAAACTGATCCCTGTTCACCAGCACTGACTCAGCGTCTGCTACTGATGATGATGATGAGTCAGTGAATGTTGAAACTGATCCCTGTTCACCAGCACTGACTCAGAGTCTGCTACTGATGATGATGAGTCACTGAATGTTGAAACTGATCCCTGTTCACCAGCACTGACTCAAGAGTCTGCTACTGATGATGATGAGGCACTGGATGTTGAAACTGATCCCTGTTCACCAGCACTGACTCAGCGTCTGCTACTGATGATGATGATGAGTCACTGAATGTTGAAACTGATCCCTGTTCACCAGCACTGACTCAGAGTCTGCTACTGATGATGATGAGTCAGTGAATGTTGAAACTGATCCCTGTTCACCAGCACTGACTCAGAGTCTGCTACTGATGATGATGAGTCACTGAATGTTGAAACTGATCCCTGTTCACCAGCACTGACTCAAGAGTCTGCTACTGATGATGATGAGTCACTGAATATTGAAACTGATCCCTGTTCACCAGCACTGACTCAGAGTCTGCTACTGATGATGAGTCAGTGAATGTTTAAACTGATCCCTGTTCACCAGCACTGACTCAGAGTCTGCTACTGATGATGATGATGAGTCACTGAATGTTGAAACTGATCCCTGTTCACCAGCACTGACTCAGAGTCTGCTACTGATGATGATGATGAGTCACTGAATGGTGAAACTGAGCACTGACTCAGAGTCTGCTACTGATGATGATGATGATGAGTCAGTGAATGTTGAAACTGATCCCTGTTCACCAGCACTGACTCACAGTCTGCTACTGATGATGATGATGAGTCACTGAATGGTGAAACTGATCCCTGTTCACCAGCACTGACTCAGAGTCTGCTACTGATGATGATGATGAGACACTGAATGTTGAAACTGATCCCTGTTCACCAGCACTGACTCACAGTCTGCTACTGATGATGATGATGATGAGACACTGAATGTTGAAACTGATCCCTGTTCACCAGCACTGACCCAGAGTCTGCTACTGATGATGATGATGAGTCACTGAATGTTGAAACTGATCCCTGTTCACCAGCACTGACTCAGAGTCTGCTACTGATGATGATGAGTCACTGAATGTTGAAACTGATCCCTGTTCACCAGCACTGACTCAGAGTCTGCTACTGATGATGATGATGATGAGACAGTGAATGTTGAAACTGATCCCTGCTCACCATCACTGACTCAGAGTCTGCTACTGATGATGATGATGAGACAGTGAATGTTGAAACTGATCCCTGTTCACCAGCACTGACTCACAGTCTGCTACTGATGATGATGAGTCACTGAATGTTGAAACTGATCCCTGTTCACCAGCACTGACTCAGAGTCTGCTACTGATGATGATGATGAGTCACTGAATGTTGAAACTGATCCCTGTTCACCAGCACTGACTCAGAGTCTGCTACTCATGATGATGATGAGTCACTGAATGTTGAAACTGATCCCTGTTCACCAGCACTGACTCAAGAGTCTGACCCTGCTGCTGATGAGACACTGAATGTTGAAACTGATCCCTGTTCACCAGCACTGACTCAAGAGTCTGACCCTGCTGCTGATGAGACACTGAATGTTGAAACTGATCCCTGTTCACCAGCACTGACTCAAGAGTCTGACCCTGCTGCTGATGAGTCACTGAATGTTGAAACTGATCCCTGTTCACCAGCACTGATTCAAGAGTCTGACCCCGCTGCTGCTGCTGCCGCTGCTGCTGCTGAGAGGCTGAATGTGGAAGCCGGCCCCTCGCACTCCCCCCGGGGCGGTACCTCGCTCTGCAGGATGGTGGTGACACGCTGACGCTGCTCCATCATCTGCAGGTCCTGCTGGAGGTCAGGCGTCAAGCCCCTGCCACGCAGGCAAGCGCCATCGCCACGCTCGTCCGCTCCGGAGGGCCCGCGGCACCACGCCGGACCCACCTCGACTCCACCAACTCCAACTCCTCCACCAACTCCACCAACTCCAACTCCTCCACCAACTCCACCAACTCCACCAACTCCAACTCCTCCACCAACTCCACCAACTCCACCAACTCCAACTCCACCAACTCCAACACCAACTCCAACTCCTCCACCAACTCCACCAACTCCACCAACTCCAACTCCACCAACTCCACCAACTCCACCAACTCCACCAACTCCACCACCAACTCCACCCCTGGCTCCCGGCGGAGTCGTTACCACAGAGACGGGATCCTGGCAGAGGCTCATGGCGAGGGCCTGGAGAAGGGTGGGGGACGGGAAGGTGGTGGGGGAGGGAGGGGGGGGAGAGGGATGAGAGGGAGGGGGGAGGGAGGAGAGGGGAAGGGGGAAGGAGGAGAGGGAGGGAGGGGAGGAGAGGGGGAGGGATGAGAGGGAGGGGGAGGAGAGGTAGGAGAGGGGAAGGAGGAGGGAGGAGAGAGGAGAGGGAGGGGAGTGAGGGGAGGGAGGGGAAGAGAGGGAGGGGAGGGAGGAGAGGGAGGGAGGGGAGGAGAGGGGGGAGGGAGGGGAGGGGAAGGAGGAGGGAGGAGAGAGGAGAGGGATGAGAGGGAGGGGAGGGAGGAGAGGGAGGGAGGAGAGGGAGGGGGAGGAGAGGGAGGAGAGAGGAGAGGGAGGGGAGTGAGGGGAGGGAGGGGAGGGATGAGAGGGATGAGAGGGAGGGGAAGGAGGAGAGGGGAGGGATGAGAGGGGAGGGAGGATGAGGAGAGAGATCAGTGGAAGTAAATGAGTGGAAAAACGCCTGCACACAAAGACAAAGGTCCCCCTTGTAGCCTCTTACGGTGCTGCTGGGGCAAGTGCTGTTAGTAGCGAGTAGCAGCAGCAGCGCCTATGAAGGCTACCGGCACACACAGAGGGGGTGGGTGGCCAGCACCACCATGCCCGGCCGCCTTTGTCTCCCCAGTGCTAGCGATGTTTACGACTACACACACAGCTACCCCAGCGACTAATTTGAGACCGAGTCGACCTAGGGGAGGCCCAGGACCAGGTCACAAAAACTACACCCCACACACACACACAACTACACCCCACACACACACACACAACTACACCCCACACACACACAACTACACCCCACACACAACTACACCACAAACAACTACACCCCACACACGCACACAACTACAGCCCCCATACACACACAACTACAGCCCCCATACACACACAACTACAGCCCCCATACACACACAACTACAGCCCCCACACACACACAACTACACCCCCACACACACACAACTACACCCCATACACACACAACTACACCCCACACAACTACACCCCCCACACACACAACTACACCCCACACACACACACACACAACTACACCCCAAATACACACACAACTACAGCCCTATACACACACACAACTACGCCCCCTATATACACACACAACTACACCCCCACACACACAACTACACCCCCCATACACACAACTACACCACACACAACTACACCCCAAACATACACAACTACACCCCACACATAACTACACCCCCCCCCCCCCCCACACACACAATACATCCTACACACACACAATACATCCTACACACACACACTCACAAAGTACATCCTACACACACACACTCACAAAGTACATCCTACACACACACACTACATCCCACACACTACACACACACACTACACACACACACTACATCCCACACACACACCACACACACACACTACATCCCACACACACACCACACACACACACTACATCCCACACACACACTACACACACACACCACATCCCACAGAAACACGCACACTACACTACACACTGACACACCACACACACACTACACTCCACACACACTGACACGCCACACCCACACACACTACACCCCACACTGCACCACACACTACACACACACTCCCTCCACACACACACTACACCCCATACGACAACCCAGCACTACACCACACACTACACAGAAACACTATACCCCACACACACACTACACACCACACACACACACACTACACCACACACCCCACACACACACACTACACCACACACTGACACTACACACCACACACGCACACTACACACCACACACACAACTACACCCCACACACTAAACACCACACACTGACACACTACCACACCCCACACACACACACTACACCACACAGACACACTACCACACCCCACACACACACACTACACCACACACTGACACACTACCACACCCCACACACACTACACCACACACACACTACACCACACACTGACACACTACCACACCCCACACACACACATTACACCAAACACACAACTACACCCCCACAACCCACACACACACACTTCACCACACACTGACACACTACACACCACACACACACACTACACCACACACTGACACACTACACACCACACACTGACACACTACCACACCCCACCACACCACACACACACTACACCCCACACACTACACACCACACCACACCCACCCACCCACAACATCCCGCTCACCACTCTCACGCAACAAGACGAACGCAGGACGCCCCCGCACACGGAGGAAGACAAAGGCGGAGGGGGGGGAGGAGCGAGGAGAGAGGAGGGATGGGATGAGAGGAGTTGTTGTTGTTTGATTTTGCCTTCTAGCGCTCCAGCCCAGCACAGCTGCTGCTACTGCTGCAGCTGCAGCCAGAGCAAGCGCCCCACAAGTCACTCACTCACTCCATCAGAGGTCACTCACTCACTCAGAGGTCACTCACTCACTCCATCAGAGGTCACTCACTCACTCCATCAGAGGTCACTCACTCACTCCATCAGAGGTCACTCACTCCATCAGAGGTCACTCACTCACTCCATCAGAGGTCACTCACTCACTCAGAGGTCACTCACTCACTCCATCAGAGGTCACTCACTCACTCCATCAGAGGTCACTCACTCCATCAGAGGTCACTCACTCACTCCATCAGAGGTCACTCACTCACTCCATCAGAGGTCACTCACTCCATCAGAGGTCACTCACTCCATCAGAGGTCACTCACTCACTCCATCAGAGGTCACTCACTCACTCCATCAGAGGTCACTCACTCACTCCATCAGAGGTCACTCACTCACTCCATCAGAGGTCACTCACTCACTCCATCAGAGGTCACTCACTCCATCAGAGGTCACTCACTCACTCCATCAGAGGTCACTCACTCACTCCATCAGAGGTCACTCACTCACTCCATCAGAGGTCACTCACTCACTCCATCAGAGGTCACTCATTCCATCAGAGACCACTCACTCCATCAGAGGTCACTCACTCAATCAGAGGTCACTCACTCCATCAGAGACCACTCACTCCATCAGAGGTCACTCACTCCATCAGAGGTCACTCACTCCATCAGAGGTCACTCACTCCATCAGAGGTCACTCACTCACTCCATCAGAGGTCACTCACTCACTCCATCAGAGGTCACTCACTCACTCCATCAGAGGTCACTCACTCCATCAGAGACCACTCACTCCATCAGAGGTCACTCACTCAATCAGAGGTCACTCACTCCATCAGAGGTCACTCACTCCATCAGAGGTCACTCACTCCATCAGAGGTCACTCACTCACTCAAAGGTCACTCACTCACTCCATCAGAGGTCACTCACTCAAAGGTCACTCACTCACTCCATCAGAGGTCACTCACTCCATCAGAGGTCACTCACTCACTCAGAGGTCACTCACTCACTCAGAGGTCACTCACTCCATCAGAGGTCACTCCATCAAAGGTCACTCACTCCATCAGAAGTCACTCACTCACTCCATAAGAGGTCACTCACTCCATCAGAGGTCACTCACTCCTTCAGAGGTCACTCACTTACTCCATCAGAGACCACTCACTCCATCAGAGGTCACTCACTCACTCCATCAGAGGTCACTCACTCCATCAGAGGTCACTCACTCACTCCATCAGAGGTCACTCACTCCATCGAGTTCACTCACCAGTCCATCAGAGGTCACTCACGTCCCATCAGAGGTCACTCACTCCATCAGAGGTCACTCAGTCACTCCATCAGAGATTACTCACTCCATCAGAGGTCACTCACTCACTCCATCAGAGGTCACTCACTCCATCAGAGATCACTCACTCACTCAGAGGTCACTCACTCACTCCATCAGAGGTCACTCAATCACTCCATCAGAGGTCACTCACTCACTCCATCAGATGTCACTCACTCCTTCAGAGGTCACTCACTCACTCCATCAGAGGTCACTCACTCAGAGGTCACTCACTCACTCCATCAGAGGTCACTCACTCCATCAGAGGTCACTCACTCACTCCATCAGAGGTCACTCACTCACTCCATCAGAGGTCACTCGCTCCATCAGAGGTCACGCACTCACTCCATCAGAGATTACTCACTCACTCCATCAGAGGTCACTCACTCACTCCTTCAGAGGTCACTCACTCACTCCATCAGAGGTCACTCACTCACTCCATCAGAGGTCACTCACTCCATCAGAGGTCACTCACTCAGAGGTCACTCACTCACTCCATCAGAGGTCACTCACTCAGAGGTCACTCACTCCATCAGAGGTCACTCCATCAAAGGTCACTCACTCCATCAGAGGTCACTCACTCACTCCATAAGAGGTCACTCACTCCATCAGAGGTCACTCACTCCTTCAGAGGTCACTCACTCACTCCATCAGAGACCACTCACTCCATCAGAGGTCACTCACTCACTCCATCAGAGGTCACTCACTCACTCCATCAGAGGTCACTCACTCCATCAGAGGTCACTCACTCCATCAGAGGTCACTCACTCCATCAGAGGTCACTCACTCAAAGGTCACTCACTCACTCCATCAGAGGTCACTCACTCCATCAGAGGTCACTCAGTCACTCCATCAGAGATTACTCACTCCATCAGAGGTCACTCACTCACTCCATCAGAGGTCACTCACTCCATCAGAGATCACTCACTCACTCAGAGGTCACTCACTCACTCCATCAGAGGTCACTCAATCACTCCATCAGAGGTCACTCACTCACTCCATCAGATGTCACTCACTCCCTCCATCAGATGTCACTCACTCCTTCAGAGGTCACTCACTCACTCCATCAGAGGTCACTCACTCAGAGGTCACTCACTCACTCCATCAGAGGTCACTCACTCCATCAGAGGTCACTCACTCCATCAGAGGTCACTCACTCACTCCATCAGAGGTCACTCGCTCCATCAGAGGTCACGCACTCACTCCATCAGAGATTACTCACTCACTCCATCAGAGGTCACTCACTCAC